TAGTGAGTTGTTCAGTTTCCATGAGTTTGTAAGCTTTCTCCTTTATCTGTTGTTGTTGATATCTAGCTTTAATCTGTGGTGATCAAACAGAATGCAGGGTGTTACCCCAATTTTCTTTTATCTGTTGAGACTTTCTTTGTATCCTAAGATGTGGTCAATTTTGGAGAAAGTTCCATGAGCTGCTAAGAAGAAAGTATATTCTTTAGTGTTTTATTATTACTATTATTTATTATTATTATTTCTTTTAATATTAATTTATTTTTTATTTTTATTTTACATATCGGTCCCAGTTCCCTTCCTATCCCTTCTTCCCCCCTCCCTCCCTCTCTTCCACCCTCACCTGCACTCTGACCACCCTCCCTTCCCATCCTCCCCACTCCACATGTAGGGTGATGCCCTGGGGGTGGTCATCTAAATCTGTCAAGTCATTTGGAGTAGGGACTAGGCCCTCCCTCCTTCCTCTAAGTTAAGGGAGTATCCCTCCATGGGGAATGTGCTCCCAAAGTCCTTTTGTGTGCCAGAGATACATCCTGGTTCCACTGTCAGAGGCCCCTAAGATTGCCCAGACCTTCTGAGACCCATGTTCAGGGGGTCCGAGTGGGTCCAATGCTGGATTCCCAGCTATCAGTCTGGGGGCCTGTTAGCTCCTCCTTGTTTAGGTCAGTTGTATCTGTGGGTTTCTATAGCCTGTTCTTGTCCTCCCTCTCTGCATCTTGATTCCAGTTCGGCTCAGTGTTTAGTTAGCTGTGAGTATCTGCTTCTGTTTCCATCAGCTACTAGATGAGGGCTCTATGATGGTGGATAAGTTAGTCATCAATCTCATTATCAGGGAAGGGCATTTATAGTAGCCTTTCCACTGTTGCTCACATTGTTAGTTGGGGTCAGTCTTGTAGGTCTCTGAACAATTTTCTAGAGTCAGTTTCTCTTGAAATCTATGGTATCTGTTAGGCTCTTTGATTTATGGTGACATTTAATCCCAGGGTTATTTTTTTTCTTTAGTTTTTGTCTGGATGAACTGTCCATTGGTGGGAGCTGGCGATGTTTTCCATCATCACTATTACGGTCAATATGTTGTTTTAGCTGTAGCAATGCTTCTTATATGAATTTGGGTTCTTTTGTGTCTGGTACATAAAGTTTAGAATTCCAATATCCTTTTGGTGAGTCTTTTCCTTTAATAAATATGCAGTGTTCATCCCTATCTCTTCTGATTGATTTTGGTTTGAGATACACACACACACACACACACACACACACACATACACACCATATATATATATATATATATATATATATATATATATATATATATATATATATCCATTCCTACTTGCTCCTTGATTCCACTTGCTTAGAATAACTTTGTCCCTTTGTCTATCCTTTTACCCTGAGGTGATGTCTATCCTTGATGGTTAGATGTTTCCTGGATGCAGCAGAAAGATGGATTCTAATTTATAATACAGTTTATTAGTATGTGAGATCATCATATTGAGACTTATTAATGAATAGTATTTATCGATTCCTGTTATTTTGATGTTGTGGTGTTGGTGTCTTTCCTTTTCTTTTCATATACTGTTCTTATGTTATTTATTCATTTTTCCTCTTGGTAGAGTTAATCTCTTTAGACTAAAGTTTCCTTCTAGTGCCTTCTGTAGAGCAGTACCAGTAGATAGATTAATAGGTGGATAAATTCAGATTTATTGTGGAATGGTTTTTTATTCTCTGCCTATTGCAATTGATACTTTTGGTGGACTGGCATCTGTGTCTCACAGTGTACAGAGCATCTATACAGGCCTTTCTAGCTTTTAGTCTCTCTGTTGAAAAATCAGGTGCTGTTCTAATGGCCCTGCCCTTATAAGTGACTTGATCTTTTCCCTTGTAGCTTTTAATATTTTGTTTTGTACATTTGGTGTTTAATTATATGTCATGTGGAATTTATTTTCTGACCCTGTCTATTTGGTGTTCTGTATGCGGTGTATATTAACATTGCTTGGGTCAATGGCATACAAAGAAGGCTATATGTTTGAGTAGAAAATCCCTGGGATATGTTAGGTAATGAATGGCTAGTGTCTGGGTAATAGGAATGCATTGTGAAAAGGGGATTGATTAAAATGTTAAGTATTTAACATAGCATTTCTAGAAATGAACTGGAAACTGTCTCAGCCAATCTTGAAGGATAATGATCATTCCATTCTCTACTAACCCAGCAACAAAAGTGTATTTCAGGCAAAGAGTAGTGTCAGTTAGGGGAAGGAAGTACACATAGTGTTTGTTTGTTTGTTTGTTTGTTTTGACAAGTTCTCATGTATCCCAGGATAGATTCCAACTCACTATATAGCTGATATCATCTTGAAGTTCTGGTCCTCAGCTTGATGCTGGGATTGCAGGTGTATACTGCCACTCTTTGTTTATTCGGGGTTGAAGGTTTAATCCGGGGCTCTGTGGATTCTAGACAGGCTCTTTGACAGACAGAGCTACTTTTCCAGTCCATGAGTAGCATTTTATGACAAGGATAAAAGTATTGGTAAACTTGTTTACCACACAGCAATGGATCTGGGAAACACAGTGCATACATTTGTGCCTGAAGGTAACGATAGAAAAGGAGACACAGTGGAATAGGTATCAAATAATAACAGAATGTGAAGGAAGACTGTGACAAGTCGCTGTTGAAAGCTCTCCCCAGGTGGAGATAGGGCTGGTCTGCTGCTCTCTTGTAAAATAGTCTTCTGAACTTGCTGCTATAGGAGATATCATAACTCTGAATCTTAAATATTTTTTTGTGTGGGAGTAAGATGGCTTTCACTTGCTGCCATGGATTTTGTATATATAAGACATGACTGAAATAGAATGACGATACTGCCTTTGTGGCCCGTGAGAAGACTTTGGCTTCCAATACAGGTAACTTTTGGGAAAGAATCTTTCTAAAATGAAAGGTTCAGGGATTCAACTTTTTCTTTAGATATGCTCTTCAACACATCATTTGTGTTGTCTCGCAGAAGAGAAAATGTAATGCTCTTTGTGTAAAAAAGAAAGGGAAATGACTATTACATGTAAATGTCAAAATCAGCAGATCTGGTTGAGGCATGGCTTTAAAAATGGATCTAAATGGGAGGTAATTTCATTTCCTTCCAATTCTCTCTATTTCCTGTAGTTTTGTTTCATTGAGGAGTCTCATTTGTTCTCATGAGTTAACTGTGGTTCTGAGGGAGTTTTTAGGTGTGTACCCAGGAGAAAGTGGTTCTCTTTGCCACAGTCTGTCTAGGTAAAATATAAAATACCAATGGCTCTATTAAAGCAGATGCTGCTCCCAAGTCTGATACCTGTGGCCAGGTGATTTCCATGTATAGGTTTGTGTTCTACTTCTAACCATGGAGCCAACAGACTGAAGACATAAGGCTGAGGGTTGAATTAGCCCACCAAAAAGGTTAATGGTAAAAAGGATAATTATTTTATTGATTTGTTTTTGTTGCTGTTGTGTTTTTTTTTTGTTTTGTTTTGTTGTTTAAAGAATGTCTTGCTATGTAGCCCTAGCTGAATGTTAATTCGCTATAAGGAGCAGACTGACTTCAATCTCATAAACAGCTGTCTACTCCTGCTTCCTGAGTGCTGGGATTTAAAGGTGTGTGCCACCATGCTCATTGCATTGTTTATTTTTCTATTGCTGTGATAAAACATGATGACCAAGGCAACATATAGAAGAAAAAGTTTCTAAGGGCTTATGGTTTCAGAGGGACATCATGGGGAGTCAGCAAGAGTGGTGGCAGTCATGACAGCTGGAACACTGAGTTGAGATCTCCCATCTTGAACCACAAGCACAAAGCAGAAAGAACATAGTAACAGTAGGTGAGGCCTTCATCTCTCAAAGCCCACTTCTAGTGACACACTTCTTTCAAGAAGGCTACACGTCTCTCAGACCTTGCCAAATATCACCAGCATCTTCAGACCAGGTATTCAAGTGCCTGAGACAATGTGGAGTATTTTTCATTAAAATCACCAACACCCAGCTTAAGATTCTGGATTCTGGATGAATGCTATTTAGACAAAAGTAAGAGATGCTCTGTCAATGATATTCTTAAGGCCTTAGGTTCTAAGTGAGCCACTAGCAACACTCATTGCTAGGTGGTGGGTTATTTCTTTTATAAGTAAGAAGCTCACAGCAGTGGTTCTCAACCTGTGGGTTCTAAAATAACCCTTTCACAGGGTTCACAAATCATATATTCTGCATATCAGATACTTAACATTATGATTCATAACAGTAGAAAAGTTACAATTATAAAGTAACAATGAAATAATATTATGTCTGGGGGGGTTGCCACAACATGAGCAACTGTACTAAGGGGTCACAGCAGTAGGAAGGCTGAGAATCACCCTTTAACAGCCTTCACCTTTATCACTGCCGAGTGAAAGAGCAGTTGGTTTTGATAAGGACATACATCTTGTTTAAGGTGAGAGTTAGTTAAGCTGAACAGATCATCCTTCTGTAGGGCCAAGGACAGTGGCATGATGCTAAATTAAACAGTCCGTAGCAAAACCGAGGGGAGAGTTCTGATCTCACTTCCACACTCCCATTCTTTCTTCCTCTGAGTAAGAAGCGTTCATAGGGTGACACTCCTCCACTCCTCATCTCTCACTGGTGTTTTAATCCTCTAACCATGGGAACTGTAACACTGTTTGTTTGTTTGTTTGTTTTAAATTGTACATGCCAATCCCAGTTCTCCCTCCCCTTCCTCTTCCTGTTCCCTACATCTTTCCTCCTACCCCCATCCACTCCTCAGAGAGGGTGAGGTTTCCCACGGGAAGTCAACAAAGTCTGTCACATCATGTTGAGGCAGGACCAAGGCCCTCCCCTCTGTATCTAGACTGAGCAAGGTATCCCTCCACAGGGAATGGGCTCCAAAAGGCCAGTTCACAGACTAGAGATAAATCCTGGTCCCATGCCAGTGGACCCATAAACTGCCCAAGCCACACAGCTGTCACCCACATTCAGAGGGCCTAGTTCAGTTCTATGCAGGTTCCTCCAGCTTCCAGTCCAGAGTCTGCGAGCTCCCACTAGCGCGGGTCAGCTGTTTCTGTGGGTTTCCCATTATAGTCTTGAGCCCTTTGCTTATATCATCTCTCTGGGCCAAGCTCCTAGAGTCCAGTCAAAGAGAGGGAGGAATGATTTAGAGATTTTGAAAGCTAGTGCTAAGTCTGGGTAACCACATGACCTCCTTCTCTGTAGTCTAGCTTTCATGGGAAGGATGTTTTCTCTTTGGCTGTAAGTGAAACTAGTGGCACAAAGCTTGCCTGACAGAGAGAGAGAGAGACCTGCTGATTTTAATTCAATAGGCAAGTAGTAATCTCACTGGACTGACAGATTATACATCTCTCCACATGGAAGCTGACTTTAAACTATCAGTTTACAGTAATGAATAGCAATCATTTCATGTATTAAGGTGTTTATTTGCAACAAATATGACATTTTTTTCCATTATTTGGATTCCTTTGTTTTCCATTTGGTTTGAAATTTGGGTGGGGCACAAGCATGTGTGTAGTCTGCAAGTTAAACGCCTCAAATTTGCAAAGAAATAATTTCCAGAATGAAGTAGTGGAAAGAACTAACAAGTGAAGGTGTTCCATTAGCTGCTAGGTACACTTTCCATATTTGACAAATGCAATATGAGGACCGAATTCCCTAAAGAAAGGAGACAGAAAGTTAGTTCCTTAAAGTGGATGTTGCTCTTAAATGTGCTTTCACTATCTTCTAAATGAAGTCCTAAAGTGGGAGATGTTTCTACAATTCCATGTGTGCCCATCTTCTCCATTCCTGTTGCCATGTCATACTTTACACATGCCTGATCTATGTGTTGATTACACTGATGTGCCATGAAAAATTTCAACATAGTGTTTTGTACCTTGAAGCAAATTATATTTTGTTTTGAACTTACCACCGATCAATACAAAAGAAGCACTCATTCTTGTATGTTAAGCCATTTGTAGCGCAAACAAATGCTACCACATCTGGACAGTTTGCTTCATATCCAGGATCTATTGGATAATACATTTTGCATGGGGGCTGGAAACATAAACATGACAGGAATAAGAGTTTATTTTTCCCCATTTATAGATTGCCTTTCACTTCCAACCCTTCTAGCTGAATGTTTAAGGATTTCCTGTCTTCTGAACTTCCATCAGGTGGGTTTTTGTTCCTTTGTAATGTAATGACCCCCATGTATCCTATAATCATTGAATGATAATCATAATAGAATCCCTGCTAAACCCCAAGTGCAGTTTTCCTTTGACCTTGTCTCCATTCCAGTATGCTATTGAATAAGAAGTTAATGAGTAGATACCTTTACTCATTATGTGTTTGTGAACTTAGAGAGGACAGGGTTTCCATGCAGTTTCTAAGAAAAAGGAATGTCTTTGTAGGCAAGAGATAAGTGACATTTGTGACTTTGTGACTGAGCAAGGAATGGTTATTATTTCACTAAATGCTGAGCTATGTCTAATCGGTGTGTGTGTGTGTGTGTGTGTGCACATGTGTTACTATAACATTTACTAAAATATGTTAGTATGTTATCAGGATTAGTCTACATGGGAGGAAGTCCAGCATGGAGAGATTAAGATGTGTGTCTAATCAAAGCCATGTGAAAATCTGTCAATGCACTTCACTTATGTGAAGGTTTAGACACCTTTGAGAAGAGTAATCAGATTAGAAGGAGAATCTAAAACTGAGGAATTTGTTTACCTTAGGCCAGGTAGAAAGATTGCGTGATTTGATAAGTGCTGCAAATAAAATACAAACACAATGAGTCAAAAGAATAGTCATGCTGCCAAAAACAAAAGACATCTATGTCTTTATCTCTTCTCTCTTCTCTACATCTCCTCTATGCCTGCTCCAATCCTTCTCAAATTAATGACCTCTTCCTTAATTATCATTGTCACATACATATATGTAATAAAAGTATATATATATATATATATATATATACACACATACATATATATAAAGAATAGTCATGAAGGGATATGATCTCACCCACTAGTCACTCATGCATAAAGCTACATAAGCAAATTACAGCAACAGAACTTTAAGTGATATTCTTTTATGTACTGCTCTATCAATCTATTTATCTATTCTGTATACAATTCTTACAGTGCATACTTCATTGCAAATTTGCTGCCTCATTAAGTGAAGAGTATTGGGCTGAGTGACAAGCTACAGAGAGCTTGTCTGGAGTTGTGAATTCTGTGTTCTAACTCCAGCATTGCAATAAATGCATTCATCAGTTAAATAAAAACAATTTGGAGTTGTATGAATTATAATGTTATTTCCAGGTTTCCCTTTTCAACAATTAGGGTAATTATATGCGTTTTCAGAACTCCATTAAATTACATATGATATATACTGCAAGTCCTGCTAAGACACTAAGTTAATATGGATACATTGGTTAATGGCAAGTAAGTAGAACAAGCACCCTGCTTTCAAGAGAGTGGTGCTAAGAGCAGGTTTAGTTAGTTGTTCTTGGTGGCTACAGATAAGGAACAGCCTTGGGAGAATGAATGAAGATAGGGCCTGCTATAGTTCTATTTCAGGTACTTAAAAAATACATGGATGAATATTCCTAAATTACAGCTGGGCAGTGGTGGCACACTCCTTTAATCCCAGCACTCGGGAGGCAGAGGCAAGTGGATCTTTGTGAGTTCGAGGCCAGTCCGGGCTACAGATGAGTGCCAGAATAGGCTCCAAAGCTACACAGAGAAATCCCATCTCAAAAAACCTAAATAAATAAATAAATAAACAAAATATTCCTAATTTCCAAATTAAACCTCAGAATTTAGGACTAGATATACAGTTCAATAATAGAATATTTGTACAATGTGTAAAATAATCTGAGCTATTTGTCCTCACCAAAATAAAATATTACAAAAGTAAATTTAAAATAATGTAATAAAATAATGAAGAAGTCAATTTCGGAATAGGTAATATACATGCATATATAATTCATGCACACACACACACAGCAGAGATACAGAAGCAAAATCTGTAAAAGATATTCAACTTATTCCATGATAAGAGTTATTTCAAATTATACTTAAAAAAAATCACTTATCACCTATTATGTCAGCTGCTGTGGAAGAAGTTTTTCATTCTTTAATGATGAGACTCCAAAAGCATTGTTTATGAAGAGGAAGTTGTCAATATGGTACAAAATTACATTTGAAGTTTCATTTTAATATATCACTTCCAATTCAATGAATTTCTTCAGAGGATATAGCTCCAACTGTGGGAGCCCACAAGTGACTCAGTTTCCATCTGGAGCCTATTCTGATTTACAAGTCATTTGAGTTCAAGCTTGCTTCTTTTGTCACCTTAGCTGTGAGAAAGCTCCGATTAAGCCCATGGGAAAGAACATATTATCTTAAGATGCAGGCTGGCGAAGGCCAGGCGAGAAGACACATAGAGATAGGGAATGAAGCTGCTTGCTGCTAGCGGGACTCATATGATAGATAGCAAGCCTTCCTGCTCTGATTCAAGGATAGAGCAGGGGCATGATTTACTGACTATGTTGTTCTTTGTTCTACTTTGCATCTAATGTGTGTATAAGCAGGTTCTAAATTAAACTCCGGGCTGTCTGGGGTGCTGAAAGGCATGGGCTGGGAAGTCCTCCTGAATCTATCATGTGTTTCTGTCTCTGTTTCTTTTATCTGCCGTTTCTTAATCCTCACACCCCTACTCAGGTATCCTAGCTCACTCGTTGGAGCAGGCTTCAACATCCAACAATACAAAAACTAGTATGCATAAGATTGTTTATTGAGCTATTTGTTGTTACACACTAAAATGAAATACTTCAGTGGAACAGTGGCCAAGTGGTTTGCTGTGTCTACTCAGTGGAATTGTATGTAATTGGACAATAGAAAGGAAGTTCCCTATGAACTATGATCCCTTGGACTTCCAAGAGTCAACAGGAGTTGGGAAAAGTAAGTTGTAAACAGACATCTATAGTATGCCATCTTCATGTAGGCAGCTAGAGGGTAACAGTGTGTAAATATTGTCCGGATAAAAATCAACACAGGAAGCCCAGAGAACTGAAATTGAATACAAAGAAAATGGAGTGTGATTAGAGCAGAAACGATAATGGAAAGGGGTGATATTAGTTCTTTGAATGTAACTTTTTATTCATATTGCTTTAATTAAAATTAATTTCAGATTGGAGCTGGCAAAATGTCCTAGGAAGTTCCAGCATCTGCTGTACAAGTTTGAGGCCTTGAGCTTGAACCCAGAGTACAGAGTGGTGGGAGGGACAGAGCTGATTCCTGAAAATAGTTCTCTGGCCTCCACACAAATGCACAGCCCCTCTCCCACACACACTCCATATACAAACACTTGCATAAGTAAAATCCGGAAGGGTTAATGACCTAAAACCTTCAGGTGAGCAGACAAATTCCTGGCAGAAAAGTTCACACCCCCTGAAAGCTATCTTCAGGCAGCTACAGCTGGGAAACCCTTGACAAGGAACTTAACATACAGGCAAGAACTTCAGTGAAAATTAACAGCTTGGGAATGCAGAAAACAGACCTGCAGCTGCCATTTTCCACCCCAAAAGTTCCCTTCTCTGCCCTGCAAGATCCTCAAGCCTCCTGCATCTTGGTGCACAGTTTCTTTTCCTATGGAAAGATGCCTGCCCTTTATTGTTCTAATAAAGGAAAATCTGTCTCTGTAGAGATTTGTCATACAATTAATTGATTGATTGATTAAATTTGGTGTTTCGAGATAGTCTGTCTATGTGGCCCCAACTATCCTGAAACTCACTGTAGACCAGGCTGATCATGAAATCACAGATTCCCCTGCCTCTTCCTTCAGAGAGCTAGGGTAAAGGATCTGTGGAATTGTGCTTGACATCCTTTTGTTTTACTTTTCAAGCTACCTTATTCAATATCCATCTAAAAACAATAATAATTATATAGGAAAAAATTTAAAAACAAAGTAAACTACTTCAAAATTGTTCCCATGATTTGGGTTTTGTGGAAGCATACTGTTTTGTTTTCAACTATTAGAGGACTTTATAAAGTAACTTCCTTTGCTGGTAAAAAAGAAATTGTCTATCATGACCCATTATATATTTACTTATTTGTTCAAACTTAAAATGTGCACAAAATCTGCAAAGAATTAACATTTTGTCTTCTATAAAAAAAAACTCCACAAGCTAGAATTTATATTGTTCGAGAGTTTCATCTCTGTTGCTGTAATAAATATCACCAATGACACACACACACACACACACACACACACACACACACACACACACACTGCACAATACACACACAATAAATAAATAAATAAATAAATAAATAAACAAAAATCATAAAACCAACTTTTGGAAGAAAGGCTTTATTTGGATCACAATTCTAGGTTTTACTTGATCTAAGTTTTTCTCAGACATCAAGGAAGAATATCACACTGTGCAGACGCATCCTATCAATAATCAAAATCCAAGAAAGAATAAGTGTGTCCTTGCTTACTTGCCTTGTTTTCAGTAAGCTTTCTCTTCTCATACTTTTCAGGATGCCTTGCCTAGGGAATGGTGCCACCCACAAAGAGCTTTGTCTTCTTACATCTATTAGTAATCAAGGCACACACTGGCAAACCAGATGTAGATAATTCCTCATTAAGATACCCTTCCCAGGTGACTCTAGGTGTCAAGTTAAGACTTAAGACTGACTGGTACAAATACATATTTAATTTTCTTTAAAATGAAATTATTATCACTGAAATCCTATGTTCAAGGATTATTTGGGTTAGTTTCATTATGTCCATTTCAGTGGGGAAAATGTTTCTCTTGAAATATGTTTTTTTCCTCATTGTTTCTATTTGTTTTCACCTTTATGGTGTTTTCTTGATTTCCTTTAATTCTTTGAAAATATATTTATGTGTTTATTTAAAATTACAAATGTAGTTGTGTGTATGTGTGCATGTGCATGTGCATGCACATTTGCAGGTACAAATATGACAGAGTGTGCATGTAGAAACCAGAGGACAACTTACAGGAGTTAATTCTCTCCTTCTACCATGAGTCCTAGGTCACCAGGCCTGATGACAAGCAACTTTACCCATAAGCCAACTGAACATCCATCATGCTGGTTCTATTTATTTATTACTTAGTACCAGAAACAGCCCACATGTGAAGGTCAGAGGACAACTTGCTTGAGTCAGTTCTTCTACTATGTGAGCTATGGGCATTGAACTCAGGTCATCAGCCACAGGATCAAAACTCCTTACCTAATGAGCAATCTCATAACCACCCCCACCATGGCCATTTTTTGTTAACTTCTTTGTATGTGAGATATTACATAGTTCCAAAAATAAAGACTGTAGAAATTAGTATAGCATTTTCCTGGCATAGGACTAGATAAATAATGAAACAGAATTACAAACCCAAAGAGATACAAAACTATGAAGAAATAAATGTTTAAAAAAAAGAGTAACAGGGCAATCCTGTGGAAAAGAAAGCTCTGTCTTTTCAACAAGTGATGCTGAGACTATTATATACTCTATGTGGAAAAAATAGAACTGTGAACATTTATTACAGCATATAGAAAAACTAACTCCGTGTAGATTTCAAACTTAAAGTTCAACACATAAAAACTGAAAGAAACAATAAATGCCAAACATTAGTCTTAAAGGAAGCAAAGATTACCTAGATAATACATCACAAGCATAATCCATGAAAGAAAAACTAGACTTCATTGAATTTCTAAACTTCTTTTCTTTGAAAGTCATTTAAGAAAGCTCTAGAGCCTACCCATAAACTGGCAAACATTTCCAAGAGATACACCTGGCAGGAGACGTATGATCTGAGCTATGTTAAATCACTGGTTTCTGTTGAACAATTACCCAGACACACACCAACAGCATTCACACAAAATGCCCATGCTTTTTATTGTCATGTCCTCTACTGTCATATTTCAAAGATATTGTTAATTCTGCATGGAAATGCACAATCTATTCTAGGAAAAGACATCATGCTCTCACAATACATTACTTATAATAAGAACATTCCATTTTTCTTTGAACTAGAAGATTTGGTTTGGTTCCAAACATAGAGCTGAAAAGAATCTACAAAGGAGAAAACAAAGCTGACTTTTCCTCTTAGGAAAATAAATTTTAATGGTATGTAGTTTGGACTAACAAGCTCAACATTTCCTATTTAAGAAAAACACTCTTATAGAAAGTTTTAAAAATGACTCTTATGATGTTCTCTACAGCTTTAAGAAAATAAAATTTTACCTCCAAGATTGCTCACCTGAAAAGGTAACTTGTGTCAAAGTTAAGATCATCAGAGAAAGTGTGGTCACATGGTACACACAGATGCTTCTTCTCATGTCTTCTGTAAAGATAAAGAAAATGCCAGTCAACTGTACAGATTAAGTTTTCAACATGAGAAAACTCAGTTCCTTTGGGGTTGCTGTATCAATACCAAATTGGCCACAGTGGTCTCACAAAGGCTCCAGGTACTTAGACATAAGAGTCTCTTTGCTCTAAAGAAGGACAGGAAAACTATGCCAACAATCTCCACCTCCTCTGCCCTCCTCCTTCTTTGTGTATGAAATGACATCCTGTCTAGAATACAAATTAGGCTATATCATCAGCTTAGGCCTTTTTTTTCCATTCTATTTCTTCTCAGAATTGTAGCCCATGGTACACAAAGAGCTGAAACCCACAATAAGTGAAATTTTCTATTTTCACATGCAGAGAAAACAAAAGGAAAGTGTTGAAGGAAAAAAAGTAAACCTAACAAACACTAACAACCATCGATAGAAAGGAGGAGGAATCTGAGATATAAGAAGACTAGAAGTATCACCACTGACTTTGTTTGACTAAGGATGGAAGAAGTAAAAAGAAGTTACCTGAATGAACTTTCTTTTGTTAACTTGAAGTTACAGCTAGCATCAGAAAGAGCTACCTGGGGGTCTGTGAAGCCATAGGGGTGGGTTCCCTGCTCAGTTGAATGACCACTAACTTGGCATGTTTTTACTCTCAAGGCTGTTTCTGATTTTGATCCTCTTTCAAACCACCCCCTCAGATGTTTCATGCTTCAGCAGGCAAGGCCAGACCTGGAGGATATGTGCTGTGCTTTCTGGTTGTGAAACACAGGAAATTAAAGCATTTTAAATATCTAATGTTTGCAAAGTAGATTAGTGACCTGCTGCATTCCAGTCTGTTTGATAAATGTTCTTGCCAAATTGCAGGCTGTTCCCAGTCTTCCCACATTCCTGTGTTTACCTCTTAGAAGTCTTACCTATTTTATATCAAGCTTTGTTTTTTGTACTTTCTCTGCTAACCTAGGAAACCCTAATATTCTTCTAATCAATACAATTTCCAATTTCTGTATTTGTTGCCCTTGATTATACCTCAAGATATGGAGGTATCTTGAAAAAAAAATTCCTCATACTTTAAGCTTTTCTAGTGCCATTGGTACTTTTGTTGTTTTGTATCCTGGATGTGTTGAAGTCCCAGGGCCTGACATAGATAGTCCCTTGATGGGCCATCAATATTTTGAGATCTTCCTATATTTTTTTCTGTCTTTCTAGTTAGAGTATATTGAACTCTGATTTCTTTCAGATCTTAGTTGTGATAGAAAAATAATCTCTACATTGAACTCAATAACTTCACTTTGTTAGAGATTCCCTAGGAAGCCTCTAATTTAATGTCACACTGCCTAACACACCTCATTTTCTTCCTTTTCTCCATCTCATCTGCAATGGTCTGTACAGAAAATGTCACCTTTTTATTACTGAACAAGAACAAACATAAGGACACATGATCTACAGCCCTACCCCCCTCCCATTCAGTTCTGGAAGTCATGTCATCAAGTATTTTCCATCTGTTCCCATCCTTCACCTTACACTGGTTACCATGGGGCACTGCTAGCTCATTGCTCCTCATCTTTCTTCCATTCTTTCTATAAGTTCTTTAAGAGTATTGAGCATCATTCAACATGCTTTGATCATATTTGCCATCCTTTACCAATTCTTCCCAAATCTACCTTATTTACCTTCCCAGATATTATGTCCATTTTTTTTAACCCTTCAGGACAAAGTTGTGACATCCAAATATTCCTAGATTTGGTCTCCCCCTGAAATGTGTTTGAGTTATCAGGGGCTTCACTCTTAGAAAGAAAAAAGAATTACTTATCCCTTTCCTACCAGTTAACATTTGCCATTTGCTCCATGGCTAAGGATTGGATTGTGTGCACAACTTTACTCTCCATACTGGTGTTTGGTTTGGCTTGGACTTGCACAGGTTTTGTACATGCTGTCAAATTGCTATGAGTTTGTATATGTAGCTGCCCTGTTGCATCAAAAAAAGTTTCCTTTTAGTCATCCATCACCTCTTTCTATCCCCTCTTCTGATAGCATTAGAAGGAGATGTTGATTATCTATGTTCCCTTTAGTGCTGAGATTTCTGTAGCTTCTTATTCTCTATTCTTTTCATGTTAGCCTTGTGTGTCTCTGTGTTAATATCATCTACTGCAAGCAGAAGTTTCTCAAATTGAGTACTGAGAGATTCACTAATGTATGGATATAATAACATGTCATTAAGAGTAAGTTTAATACTATCCCCATTTAGTAATATAATAGCATCAGGCTCTCCCCTAAGGCCTGTAACCTTTCTAATAAGTTTTTGGCCCAATATTTGTGGCACATATGGGTTTTATTTTGTGGATTATGACTTAAATCCAGTTAGAAAATGGTTGATTACACCATAATTCTCCTGCCACTATTACACCATTGGTCATGTCTTGCCAAATCTTATTTGTTGCTGTAGCTAACAGGGCTTACATCAGGGTATGAGCAGTGATTATTTCTTTATTTTGGTAGCTTCTATAGCACCTTCCAACACTATTAAAGCCATCTCATAGGGATGAAGCTTCCAGGTCTGTACCAGCATTATCTTACCATGAGCTCATGACTCAAGTAGGTACCTTCAACAATAAGGTCTTACTGTGACATCCTGAAGGGTAACCAAGAGCAATCACAATAGCCTGTAATGGTTTTTGGAGAGTAGTCCATAGGACCTTCTTGACCAACAACTCCAAAAGAAGTAATCCATTCCTGGAAGCAGGCTTTTTAAATGTTAGCTTCTGGTGTTAGCTTCAGGTGTTGTAGGTTTCCATATGCCATTTTTGAAAGGTCTTAGTGTTATTTATCCCTTGCCATTCCCCTTCCTTCATCTTAAATTTTAAATTAACCCATATTTTTTATCTAGCCTCTGCCATGTGGCTCCTGACTTATCACCTCATTTTTTACATGTCCTGCTTCCTTTTATGTCTGCTGGCATCTCCTCTTACTCTACTCTCCTTCTTCTCAGTGCCTTTTGTTTGATTGTCCTGCCTGCACTTCCTGCCTAGCTACCATCCAATCAAATTTTCATTAAATCAATCCAAGTGACAAATCTTCACAGTGTACAAAGGTTTATTCCACAGTAGATCTTTAACTCCCCTACCTTGAAAGTCCCTACAATGGCCCCTTAGTTACTCCCTGACCCCTGTGGGTATTCTAAATCAAACAATCATCTCTGAAGATTCAAAGATAGCATTGTCAAATGAAAGAAAATATGGCATGCTTCTCAGGTCTAGGCTATCTCATTCAGATAGATTGCTTTCAGATCCATCCACTTACCTACAAATTTCATAATCCATTTTAATAGTTTAATAATATTCTGTTGTATAAATATATTACATTCTCATTATATATTCATCAGTTAATGGACATCTAGACTGTTTTAATTTCCTATCTATTATACTTAGAGAAACAATGAATACGGACGAACAGATATTTATATAGTAGAATATGGAGTTCTTTGGGTATGCACCCAAAAGTAGTATAGCTAGATAATTTGATAGATATGATTTTAACTTTTTGAGGAAACTCTACACTAGTTTCCATAATGGATGTACCAATTTTCTTTCCCAACAGCAGTGAATACATCTTCCCCTTTCCTCAAACTCATGCCAGCATTTGTTATCAGTTGTAGTTTTGACCTTAGCCTTTATTACTAGTATAAAAATGAATCTCAAAGTATTTTTAATTTGCATTTCCTTTGTGGCTAAGGATGATAACCCTTTTTAAAGTGCTTTTCAATCATTTGTATTTCATATTTTGAAGACTCACTCTTTATGCTTTATATTTATCTGGGTGGCTTGCTCTCCCTCTGTGTATGTATGATCTTAATGTATTCTAGATTATAACTGTCTGTCAAATGTTTACCTGATAAAGACTTTTTCCAGTTCTCAAGATGGCCTCTTTGTTGAGTTTTACTTTCATTAAGTCCCATTTCCCATTTACCAGTTGTTATCAATGGATGCACTTCTTAGGGTCCTTTCCCGAGAGTCCCTTCCTCTTCCTATAAGGTGAAAAATATGCCCTATATTTTCCTTCTATCAGGTTCAGGGTATCAGGTCTTTTGCTGATGTCTTTGATCTAGTTGGAGCTGACTTTTAAGCAGGGTGAAAGAGAGTGAAAATGTAGTGTCCTTCTATGGCACTGACCACGCCCATTTGGGGGTGGAGCCAGAGGCGGAAGTGACCTGTGGAACTAGGTCTGAGGAGGAGCAGGGTACTCTCTCTGGCTGGCATCCAGAGAGGAGGAGAGTATCCAGTGGAACTTGCTGGTGTTGAGCTGTCTAGGTTGTAAGTTATTTCTCCCTGAATAAACATCTATTTGGCCTATTTGTTTATCCTGATACTTATTAAACCACGATATGAAAGAGTTTCATTCTTTTACATGCAGCTTACAGATTTAGAACAGGAACATTTGTTGAAGATGCTATTTTCCCCCAACATGTATTGTTAGCCAATTTGTCAAAACTCAAGTGTCTATAGGAATATGTGAATTATATGTTGGTCCTAAATTCTAGTCAGCTGATCAAGGAATATTCTTTTATGCCAGCATCATGCTATTTTCATTACTATAATTCTGTAGTATAGCTTGACATTTGGGACTGTGATAGCTCTACTAGTTTTGATGTTGCCATTATTGTTCAATATTTTTTGGTTATCTTGAGTCTTTTTCATTTTCATATGAAATTTAAGATACTTTTTCTATATTTGTGAAGAATTGCATTGTAATTTTGTTGAGAAATGTATTGACTCTGTGAATTGTTTTTGATAGGATGTTCATATTCACTATATTTATCATACCAATGCATGATCAAATTAGTTGTTTTTCAGTATCTTAAAATTTTCCATTGTATAAGTCTTTCACTTCCTTGTTTAGATATATTTCAAGACGTTATTTTTGATGCTTTTGCAAGGGGGATTGTTCTTGAATTCCTTTTTGGCATGTTTGCCATTTGTATATAGGAAGTTTACTGATTTTTGCATGTTAATTTTGAATGCTCATAGTT